TGATTATTTTTCTTTTAATATGAACTTTTTTTCTGTAAAGTATGTTCATTTCAGAGACTAGTTGTTAGTCTAGTAAAGAATTATATGTAAACATTCGTTCTTCTCTTGGGATAACTGTATATTTTCCAGTTTCAACCAAATGTACATTCAAAGGATATCGAAATCTAGGTTAAGCTATTTGAATCATATTTACAATTAAAAGACCCAAACAATGGTCTGTTGTCCAAATTATTGGTTTTCCATATCTTGTCCCAGTCTGTATTACAGTCTCAGAACGATATTATTTCCCCTTCCGCCCAGCCCTTACTGTAATGCTTACGCCCTGCATAGATATTCCCAGGTTCAGCGTCTGTTTTAATCGGCAGGAAAACTCACTGCAGGGTTCGTGTTACAGAGTAAACAATACCAAACACCCATGGCTGCCTGGACCAACATCTCCAGTAACATTTCCATCTACCAACGCTTAATTCGCAAGTGATGAGGCAATAAGCTAATGAGGTTAAGGTCCTGTACCATGTTTGTGAAATATCTATGATGCCTTATATGAAGGGGTTTTTTATGATCTAAGCAAGCCTAGCTATGTAAGGCGTTAAGTCGCTGCTTATTTGAATTATATTTGGTAAATATTAGTATTTCACTGACTCAATCATATTGGAAAATCACATTCGGTGTCAAACTATTTGGAACTCCGGCCAAAGATGATGTTATTCTCTCTGGAAATATGGCCTTTATGTAATGCTTTGGTTGCACTTAATGATAAGTGATTGTTAAATTATGTACATATGATGTTTTTGAAGGATAATCTCAGCTGACTCAGATACTTTGCACGTGTTTTCCCCCACTCTTTCCATACCTGTAAAAATTAATTTTCTATATATGTCAGTAAGAAAATACTGTAAGGAAATAATGTAGCCCCAATATAGATGTTGTTAGTCTGTGAATCTTCCAAATTACTTGGTCTTTTTTTCCATTGAAATTAAGTTATTTGCCTTTTATCAAAATAATATATTTTCAAGACACTAAGCGTCAATCTTAATGTGCCTATGTCGGGAATCAAACACCGGCTTTTGACCTGACAAGCGAACGCTTTAACCACGAGCGCACCCCATCATTCCTTGATACTGTAAAAGAATATACATTGGTACATTTATTATACATTCAAGATTGAACCCAGTTATATCACTATATATCTTTCAGTTTGTTTGCAAAATTAACCAATTTAGTTTTCCATTTATTTAACAAATTTCAGTTTCTACTTCCTGGATATTCTGTACGAAGGTACATTTAACGGTTCCACCCAATAACAGTAAATCATACAGATAATACATTTCGGTACTTTGATAGATTAATTATATTGGGATGCCTTAATGATTAACATAATTGTCATGTATAACAAATCAGACAGCAAAAGGCAAAAGCAAAAATGAAATGCATGAGCAACATAAATGCTGTCAGGTAGTAAGCTTTCAATAAATATCGAAACTGCTTAGTTATGTAAGTTTATGAACTAATTGCAGTCACTAGAATTTTCTATCATCTATCCAAGAGATGGAATCAAAATAAGTGTACAGTATATTCCGTCGGGTAACTGAAATTTGAGAAAACGTCCGTATGGGTTTACATATTTACAACAGTAATTTACACCGGGAATCCTTAATACATTTTTTGAAAGTATAGATAATGAAATTTGTGAAGTTATGATCAGTCGGATAACTCATACAAGTGAGCACTAAAATCAGGCATATATAAGAAGTGTACCTAAGGTCAGTTATTTAAACTTTAATGTATTTTCCATTACAACAAGTATAAACGATATTGCCTACTGATCAGAATGACTTATCAGTACCACAACACCGACCCACCGCCACCACCCCATCCCACACCCTCTCCCTCTCACACACATGCACACACACTCCCTAACATACATATCGCTCTGGCCCATAGACCCGATATTTGAACCTTTCAAACAGACATGTGTATGTTAAGAAATACACGCACGTTAATAGTGGTGCTCAGTCATGTGTTTCTAATTATCTCAGTACATTATGGCGTGGATGGACGCGCTAATGAACCCTATGTGACAGCATTGAAATACATGTATATGACAAACCTAACCCTGGTCATACGAGATTTCAAAGGTATTGAAATGCATGTCCTACAATCACAGCATTTACATATGTTACACATGCTAGAAAATACATGAAAACAATGGCCAGATTTACACACCTGTGAAATACATGTAAATGCAGAGTTGTGTGTTCGTTTATTTTAATACCCCTTTAAACGTGTGTAAATCTGACGGCATCTGTACATTTCAAACGTTGTTCATATGGCCGCTGGATGACACGTTTATTTACTAACGTTAGAAAATGTGGGTAATAGTCATTTCGTGTTGTATACGTTGAGGGAATACGGTTCCAGAGCTTTTTCTCAAAGTTTTTATCTCTGGTTTTACGTGTCGGGCTTCAGCTACCTCAGACCGTCAAATGTACGTCTGAAATATACAGTTATTTATATTGCAAGGATATGGTAACCAGCAATGAGTGCGGTTTATGTTTATGCGTATGGTGACAATAAAAAAGGCCGTGTACCGCACAGCTGGTCCAGTTGTGCTTGTTGTTTTGTTGTTGATTCTGAATCTGTTGGAAGTTCAAGGAGAATTATTTTTCACTTGAGAAAATCGGATGTGTTGATCTTTATCGTGGTGTAGAAGTCCAGTGTTTGTTTGTTTTATACACTGTCAACACAACACATTGTCCCACTTTTGTGGCAACAATGTAACCTTTTCATAACCTACTGTTTATACAGAGGAAATAATGTGCATGTATACTGACGATAATGTAAAAATGGTCATCCAGACACTCCAGAGGCAAAATGACAATATAATCTCTTCCTTTCAATCACCTGACGAAGGGGCAAGGAAAAGCCCAGAAACGTTGTGTATACAATAAAGAAGAAGTTGACATCCATAAATTTTGTCGTGTACTTGAATACCAACTTCTATATGCCTCTCAACAACCCCCACTGATTCTGTTCCGCTTGATTGGACATCACAATACATTTTATATCTTTAATGCATTGTTCAATACAAAATCAAGTTAAATGTCACTTATGTTATCAAATCTATCTACATCTGCAGAATAGTATAATACTGATTTACAATATCACAAATCGTGTTATTTGAAGAAAACTCTCTTTTAGTGAAATATTTCCCTCACTCTCCTTTTTCTGTTGCTTCGAAATATCTATGATGAACATTAGTGTATGCATTTTGGACCACAATATGGTCTCTATCAGAATTGTTTTGGTATGTGGTCTGTTCGCCTTGTCCCGAACAGTTAAAAGCTTCTAAAATCACGATTCTGTTGCCGAGCAAAGTCGGGCGGTACACTACTGATGTATAAGGGTTTTGGAAAAATGCCACTATTATTGACACAATTCGCAAGAAACACATTTGATAATATTGCGGCTGGTTATGATAGTACCGGTCAAGTCGGACCAAACACGTGTGCAGCTACAATGCGTGTTACATATTCGCAAAGGAATATGGAAATATGTAAATGATAATTTCCCTAAAAAACATGAACTAAATCATAATCCATACATCAATCAAAGTTTTTAAAGAATGAATTTGGTAAGACCGACCACAAATCTTGCATATGTAATAGTTAAAAGAGTAAAAAAAAACAAAGTTTATTTGTTCTTTAAGGTAAAACGTTTAGCGTTAACCGGGAGCAGTATCGCTACACACGTGACAGGCGTTCCAGGAAGTTTAAAAGTCGATGAACAATTACAATGTGCAATTTTGGTATGTATATTATGGTTATGTAAATGGTTATTAAATGGTGAATGGGCATATATAACACAATTCCTTCAATCGAAGCACATTCCCTAATACACAATACATACGGATGGCCTTATATGCATATGATGACACTTGTGTCTCGCTCTGAGAGTGGCGTCTTGAACTCTTGGTAGAAAGAGCCCATACTGTACCTCCAAAGAAGTGGAATGTAGACACCAACACCTAAACCTGATAAAATGTCTGACATAATGTGGGACTGTTGACTGTTGGAAAGTCCATCCTGTTCATACTCAGGTTCATGCATTCAGCGAGGTTCAAATATGAAAGCATTTGTGAACGCTGGATATATATTTGAACATACACGCACGTTCGGTTTAACATTCTGCAATCCATTTTTAGTATTAGTATATTATCAACGTGGGTGTTAAGTACTTGATCACTGCCAATTCCTCGAGTGTGTCCATTCTTGAAAGACCAAAGTCTCCTGTTTATTTCAACGCCCTGATTCAAGTTTTTCGGATATGACTCTTCGACATTTTCATCACGTATACACTAGAAGATTTCACAATCAACTAATTCCTGCTATTATGGTCGTCTTCACTGACAATATATTCAATCAATTGCAATATTTTATTCGGTTAGAAATGTACATATATGGTGGTGGCACTTATTTTTAACTTTGTTTCACAAATAATTTATTCTCTGATACTCATGATAAATAGGTAGAGTGGTTTCATATGTCCAATTCCTATTTTGCAAAAGTTTTGCAGTTATATGTTTGGTTACAGTAGTGATACATGTCATTTGAAGAAATTTAATTCTAATTGCATCATAGGTTGCGCATCCACGAAAAATGATATTCGTCTCTTATACCTCGATCACGTAAAGGGCTGGTTCTCATGCATTTGCCATATTTTGGTCACCTACCTTCATTATTTCTCAACGGGAAATGTCTGAAATAGCTTCGAAGCAATAATTCACTTTTCTGCATTTAAGAACATCTATCTTCTCTAAAGATTGTCTTGAAAGTCTTCAAAAATCCATTTTTTAATCAAACATGTTTCAATAATAATCCCTCAAAATACCTCATAAACATTGGTTGCGCCGGTTTTGACAACCAAATTACGCTGGAAGTTTGTCTACCCAGATGTGCAAGTTTCGTTTTAATACTCTGTAATCCATCTTTAGTATTACCCGGTAGCCCGGCCTTTCTTTGCCCGGGTTTTAGGCAGTCAAGATGATGGCGGAGTACGTTTCAGGCGCGTTGTTTTGAAAGAAGGATAACGCTGTCAAGTAAACATGTCTGGTAATTATTTTTAGTTGATATACCCGTATGTACACCAGCGTGATGATTGCACGTCGGCGCCGATATCGATGAGTGACACTTTACAGTGTTGCACAAATTCTTAACAATAACAGCCACATTAAAACACGATACAACCAGACACCACATAACAGTATATATTGTCTCCGATACATCAGTTTGTCCAGAGACAATATACCGGTATATGGTCTCTGGTTTGGCAGAAATGTACATAAAACGTTTACATCCTTTGACCGGTTATTCCTATTAGACAGTAGTTATGGTGTAATTACATGAGTAATAAGCAGAGACCATATATAATACTATTAATTGAAGTCATTATTATGATACAAGTGGAACTAACTGGTGACAGTGTATGTAGAAGTCTATGCCACCCCCAATTCTGGTCCATTGACAATAAATGTCGATTTTTTATATACTCATGAAACAAATTTGATTACTGTTGTTGAGTTTTATGTTTCAATAAGCACCTGTGACAGATATTAATCAGCTTACTGTTGCTGAAGGTGTGACAGATATTAATCAGCTTACTGTTGCTGAAGGTGTTGCTGTTGGCACGGGTACTACAGATATGTATCCTAGGTATGTTTATGTGTACAAATAGGTACTAGTACCCAAGCTGAAGTCGAATACAGAAACGTAGCTTAGGACAAGTTCATTCCATATTTTATCATTTTCTCGACCTGTCATGCTTTTGTATGAGGTGCTTTTATTATCTGTACAGAAACTAGAGCTGTTACAATTCAGTGATTCAGTGAATCATTCTGTATCCCTTCATGAATTCAATTCGTTATTCGAGATCATTAAAATTGAATGTTCATGAATTTTGTAAAAAGGTTTGTTTTTACTTGAAATTAAGTTTTGTTATTTAAAATGTCACTGGTCATTGTCATGATAAATGAACGCTGAAGGGGTCATTGTCAGCACAGGTACTATAGATGCATATACCCCAGGTACATTTCGCATACAGAAATGTAACCTGAACAAAGTCAAACTACAGAAACATACCCGGTACCCTACATGGCAGACGAGTTCATATTCTGCAACCAAATATTTGTTAGGGGAGCATTTTTAAATATTGTGTTTCTCATCGCCCGACCGACCCTTCCAACACTGTGGACTCGAACCTAAAACGTACCGCCGTAAAATAACCGTAAAATGTTTATCTATCTAAATGTTTTAATCAGTCACTGCCACAAGTCCAAAGAATGCGAGAACTTGTAATAAGAATTACAATAAATGAGAATCAAGAACATTATTAGGATAATTTTGTCTTTATTAATTTTTTTGTTTTGTATTTTGTTTGTTTGTTTTGTTTTCCCGACCGACCGACCCATGTTCAGAATTTGGTGGCTACGTGAAAAACATTAAATAAAATTATGCCCTTACTGTGTATGGTCGTTACTTATATTATATTACACAATCAAATGCATCTAATACAACAGTATGACAGTTCCGACAGGGGTGGAAATAACCCATTGCCCGACGTCCAAGTCCAGTCGGGCAAGCAAATTTGTATATCACACTGTACCAATGTCCAGTGGACTTTCCAATGTTAATTATGTTGTTTATCTAAAAGAATCAACAAGAAAATCGGCCGGTATAGAGGAAAAATTATCAGGGTAAGTGATTTTATATGTGCCACTGTACTGGTGTACACAAGCAATTCTAAAGTTCCACCCCTGTCCGATCAAGAAAACGACACAATGCGGAATGGAATCGTCCTAGGCACATTTCTGCATACAGAAACATACATGGGGTACACATCTGTATTATCTACACAGACCCCTTCAGCTAAATTAACTCTGTCAAACAATGTATTTTGTTATTGTTTCACTGAACATGCGGAATAATACATCAACTGTTGATTTGTTATTGTATTCATTAGCCAATATTCGTATTTGTTACTGATATTCATGATACATATCATATTTGACTCTTAGTGAATTCATTGCAGCCCTTATTAGAAATGTAGTTGGGGTACATGTTGAAATCTTCCTTGGGGGTTAACATCATGCATGGTGTTCCGGCTACATTTAAAGTGGCCAGATAACACTATTTTGACTTGCATGACATTTTTCATAATGGACTTGGTATGGAGGGAATTTTTATATTGGTTTTAAGATTTAAGTGACTGACTGAAAATGCTAATATTCCAGCAGGGTGTGGTTGGTGATTTGATCAATATTAGCTTTACATTGTCTGCGTAACAAATAGTGGGGTCAACATTGATAGTTTCTTGAACAACGCCAATATTTTCATATCAAATTTAAAGACACAAATTAGCTGTGTACAATTACATTTCTTCATCGGTCCGTGATTAGTAGTTGTTTTTAATATTATTGACACAATGCCATTATTTCATCCTCATTCACTTTGTAATGGTGGATAACTGCTTCAGATTCTAATCTCCTAAAGTGTTATTAAACATATCTTGTTAAATTCGAATCTCTTACTCCAATAAATAATATTCTGTGGGAAGATCTGACAACATCACAATCAAACCTTGCTTATTCATATATTCAGAATTTTTAAGTTGATCATATGTGTATATTTTAAATCTGTGAAGATAACTCATTTCAAAGTGTGAAGAAATAGGCCTGAGGCCCTGTTGACCACATCTATAAAGAATAACGTGTGTTTATAGGAATGTACTTTAACAGCAATTGTAACAGTGCTAATTTGCTAATATTCAAATTTTGTTGCAGTCAATGTGCTCAGGCTAAATGCTTCTGAAAAGAAATGTTTCCAAATAAAACTACATTCACGTGATTCAGTTGATAAAAAATAATTGTAATGTTAGCATTTCAGTCTTGTTTTATTCAGTTCCAGTTTTGGACAGTGTGTGAAATAATTTCCAAAGTGTCTGGCTAGCTATGCCTAAAAGTTACTAGCCCACAAAATAATTCAATAGCCCGAAATATAAAAATTTAAATTTAAATTATCAGGCCATAATCTTGCATGATTTAAAAGTGTATTATAACTTAATAAGTCGGAGTGAGTGATACATTTAAAAAATGAACCCATGAAAAATCACTAGCCAGTCGGGCCGGTGACTGTGGAGATTTACTGGCCCGACTGGATTTTTACTAGCCACGGGCTAGCGGGCCAGTGGCTATTTCGCACACTGGTTGTGGAGCATATGAAGCATTGGGTACAGGTTCAGAATTAAAGCCCTCAATAGCAAGTAGTCAGTTGGGATTACCATCATTGGAATTTTACATGTCCTGAGCACAATTAGGTTGTGTCATTACAGCAGAATAGAGTGAAATTCATGGCTGCTGTTTACTAACTAAAATATTAAAGTAATTGAATCCTTGTCAGGTACCTAATTTAAAAAGAGACTAAAAAAAAAATGTCTAACCCCACCATGCAATTGTACTACACATAGGGCAGTGGGGTAGCCTAATGGTTAAAGCGTCTGCTCGTCACGCGGTGGGGTAGCCTAGTGGTTAATACGTTTGCTCGTCACACTGAAGACCTGGGTTCCGATTTTCCACATGGGTACAATGTGTGAAGCCCATTTCTGGAGTACCACGCTGTGATATTGCTGAAATATTGCTGAAAGCATCGTAAAACCATACTCACTTACTCGCTCACTTATACTACACTGAACATGATAAATGTGAGATTCCAACCTGATACTCAAAACCAAATGGCCCTAACACTACAACACTGCCCAGTATTTGAAAGTGTGTTTACTTTGGAGATTCAGCTTATAAGCTCATTGTCATAAATGTTTAATGTTGTAAAACAATATGTTTTCAGGTGCCCTTTTCGACCTGGATAGGCTAGAGGCCAATGCAAGGGAGACTGAGAGAAGTCAGAAAAAGGTTGAATTGGCAGACAGGAAATCACGCCATCTACAACAGAAGCTACTCACTTTACAAGCTCGGCGGAATGAACTCCGCACACAGTTGCCCCAGGTTACGTCTCAGGTGAAGAATGTGGTGTGGCATAGCAATGTCAAACTAATTATATCTTCATTTATTGAATCCAAAACCTGATCCATGTTAAAATGCGGATAACATTTTCATCATCAGTACAGGGTTTTACGTGACACGCAAATGTACGTCCAGTGCACACAAATGTAGAGAATGGACGTAGAAAAATAACTCACTGCGTCCAGAGGGATGCACTACATTACTCATTGTACCCACGACACATCTATGATTTTGCTAAGCGTTTGGTTCTTTCTTTCAAAGTGGTTACTTGCATCATTTCACCCATAAGTCCATAGGGCTGTGCAATATAACCGGTTTACCGGTATTTACCGGTTCAGACATTTAAACGATACCTATTGCGATACGATGATCAAAAACCGGTATTTTGACATACATTCGGAAAACTTCATAACACTGGGAAACTTCGGATATTTCCGTTTTTTTAATTGTTCTTTTCCCTGTTCCATTAGTGCCAAATGTTACTTACATTTTTATTTTGTTATGATGAAAAGGTTTTATTAAAGGTTAATCAATCATAGTGATTTTGTTGTGTTTTTGCTTTATAATCAAGCATTAACTCGATTATAAATAGTTTTTGTTAAAAAATAATTCTTGCAATATATTGCAATACATATCGCAATATATGCTTCCGCATCGCAATATATCGCAATATGAAAATTCTCTGCAATACCCACCCCTATAAGTCCACATGATCATTGATTCATTCCAGGCTCTGAAGAAATTATCAAAACATACGGTTCTCTAAGCCGTAACTTCACAGGACCCTCATATTTCCTGCAAGCACCCTTAAAACTAATAATTACAGGTCGCCAGGACCCCCATGTTTGTGAGTCGAGGTAAAACCCTGTCAGTGTTGAATAAAATTGTAACATTTACAATACAAACACTGACTATTCAGTTGTTGCCTCAAGTTATCCAGATGTCTTGATGTGGTGTACACACAAGTTATTGTTACTGTTACAGTTGTTCAAAGGCAAAAGTCAAAGATCTTTATTATGCATGAAGGCCACCGGCCCATATACATATAACATATATACAATCAAAATATATTGGAAACATGATGTAAAACCATTAAGAGTTTAACAAAGTCTGTCTCTTTTTATAAGCAGTATATATGAATTTGCATAAATTTAATAATGCTTCATTTGAAGCAGAAGTTAACAGGCTTTTGAATATAAATATATTTGGAATGCGGTTGTAAACATGTAGAAAATAGGATAATCTTTCTTCAGAATAATATTTGCATACTAAAAGAAAATGGAATTCATCCTCTATACCGAATTTACGAACAGGACATGTGCGTAGAGATACACCAATATTTAACCATCTTCCTTCGTTTATATTTAATCATAATAGGCCTGCTCAGAACTTTATAAGAATATTACGATATTTGTTTTCATGTATAACACTTAAATATTTTTCAGGTTCTAGTAAACTTTTACAATTTGTCCTTATCCTGACTCATGATCTTTTGCTTATCTCTCTCCTCTATGCGAATGGTAGTGGAACACTTGAATCCTTTGTAGTTCCCTAAAGCGGATGTAAAAGTACACTCACCCACGAGTTACCTCCGTTTTCCTGCGCAAACATTCATGTGACCTGCCTTACTTGTCACTCTCTCCCTTTTCGCCCAAGCAGATGGTTGGGCGAGCACTGGAGTCCTGTATACGGCATATATCCTTTATATCTAGATCCTATTTATTGAAATTACGCTGTGTATGGTATTTGGCTATAACTAACGTGTATTATATGTAAATTTTTTGAAGAAATTATTTGTATTTTGTGACATATTTTCATCGTAATGTAACTTGTTTACATTTCATGAAATCTTGCAGTGTTTGCAGGTACCGGCTATCAGTGGCTGATCCTCACCCCAAATGCCCTTCATGCATTAAGCCATGTTCTTCCACCTTGTGTTGTACATATTGCATTGGTTTATCAAATTTCCAATATAATCAATATTTGTCGTACATCTATAGACGTGCCATGGATCGGGTGAGGAAGTCATCACAAGTCACGGTTGATAAACCTGAAGTTCAAGCCGGTAACCATATGTTGTTTGCTACAGCAGAAATACATAATTCTAGTGCTATGTCGAGTACGTTGCAGGGGCAGTCGTCTGCTGTTGTTCGTGATTTAACTGCCGAGACATCCTCATCGCAGTCTAAGAAGAAGATGTCTTTATCGACCTCGACGCAGAAGAAGTCTTCTGCATCCAGACCTTCAGTGAAGTCGTTCCGGTAAAACATCTCATCAGAGATCGTTTAATGAAGACATTGTGCCGCCTGCCGAAGCAGACGTTTTTGCTGACCCGACGATACTTTTACCTGAAGTACCTCTCAGATCGGCAAGAAGAACGACGCAGTCGACCTCCGAGACGACTATATCGTCTCCTGCAAGTACAGCAGCTGTTCAACTGTCCGATGACTAGCCTGCAACAACGCAGACATCAGTCATCAGCGAGGTAGACGTAGACTACACCTCAGCATTCGCGAACACTTCGTCCACACCGCAGCAGTTCCAGCTTACAACGCAGAACTTCGACCCGGGCGACTTTATGAGGCAGTTTACAACGCAGATGATGGCCTTGATGGAGATTTGGTTCGCCGAAGAAGCAGCAGTTCAGCAGAACCCTACGATGGCAGTCAACATTCGCAAACCCTCAGACCTGCGCGAACCTGAAGCAGCTACACCCCAGAGGTTTACTACTACAGATGAGGTTCGCAGAGATCTTCACACTCAGAAGACTCTATCATCATGGAAGATGCAGGTTCTTCGAACCTCCCAGTTGCGTCTGCGAACCCTCAATTTTCGAGAACGTTAAGAAGGTCCTCTGCGAGATCCAGTCAATCCTCATCTAGATCCCGCAACCCACGCAGACGTTCGGGGAACGTTCGCGAAAGGAAGGTTAGAGAAGGCAGGGTTCGCGAAGGCAAGGTTTGCGAAATGAAGTGTCGAGAAGAGGCAACGCAGACATCTACAGGGTTCACGAACCTAGGGTTTTGCGAACCCTCAGATCAACAAGCAGATACCAGTAATGCAGATATCTACAGGGTTCGCGAACCCTAGGGTTAACGAACCCTTAGATCAACAGGCAGGATGTTGACGTCGACTCTATTACCATACAGCTGAATAAAACAAAGCAATAATGAAAACGGATGGTTAAGTCAGAGTTGGAACCAAAACAAGATCTTCAATTTCTGGGAATAAGATTCATCACTACACAGAATTGTGGTCCCAGAAGATCGTTGGGTCAAGATACAAGCCATGATTCCTCAAGCAGTCATCTCTCCGTTAACACTACGAACATGGCAATGTCTACTCGGTCTGCTAACCTCAGCGCAGGACCTGTCTAGCACAGGAAGGTTACAACTAACGTCCATTGCAACGATTTCATGGTAAAACATCTGGACAGCATTGTCCCTATCTTTCTACCAGACAATCTCAAAAGGTACCTGCCTTGGTGGACTCACAGGTCGAATGTCTGCGGAGGGACCTATTTGCAAGAGCCGGTATTCGACGCACATCTCTACGTAGATGCATCACTACAGGGATGGGGTGCACATCTCAACAATCAAGTTGCATCAGGAAAGTGGTCCAAAACAGAACAAAAGCTTCACATTAATCTGCTAGACATGAAAGCTGTAATAAACGCCGTACAGCTATGGTCGAGTTCGCTGATCAACAGAATGTTGATGGTCCACACGAACAACTCTACAGTGGCATTCTCCATAAATCGGCAGGGATCAACAAGATCACCAAGCCTACTTCAGCTCACATTCCAGTTGTTCGACATTATGGAGGAGGCAAACATCTGGATAAAGGCGTGTCACATTCAGGGAGCCAAGAATGTGCTAGCAGACGCTCTGTCCCGACCACTGCACCCGTCACCTACGGAATGGATGCTCCATCCAGAGGCATTCCGGCTCATCATAGGGGGAAATAGGATCCCCATGCATAGACCTGTTTGCCACGAGGTTCAACAAACAACTACAGACGTTTGTCTCACCAGTACCAGATCCCCAAGCCTGGGCAACAGATGCACTGAGCATATCATGGGAAGGACTAAACGCTTACGCGTTTCCACCCCCGATCTTACTACCGAAGTTACTGTTGAAGATCAGACAAACGCAGGCGCTACAACTGACTTTGAACTAATAGGAGATCTCGGAAGTCTCAGCCCTCAAGCTACCAGAATGGCCGAACCTACTCAGACATCCGCACACCAAGCAACTCCACAGGAACACAACACTGTTCCAGCTACATGTGTGGACCGTATCAAAACCTGTTTGAAGAAAAGAGGATACTCCGCCAGAGCAGAGAAAGCAGTAACCCTAGCGTTACGCAGATCTACTCGCAATTTGTATGACGACAAATGGCTGAAATTTGAGAAATATGCAAGGCGGAAAGGCTTTACAGCTATGGAAGCAACTCATCCTCAGGTGGCGGAATACTTATGTCATCTCAGACATACAAGACATCTGAAAGGTTCAACATTATCCACGGATCTGGCCGCCATCAGTACAGTGGTCGCTATGAAGTCAGGCATCAAGTTGACGAAAGTACCAGAGTTACTTGCTCTGCTGTGATCTTTTAGACTGGAGGACCAGCAAAAGAAATTCAGAGCGCCAGCCTGGGATCTGAATGTAATTCTACGTCATCTCATGAGTGATGCCTACGAACCTCTAGAACAGACTACCTTCAAGCAACTCACACAGAAAACTCTGTTCCTACTTGCCCTAGCCACGGCAGCTCGAATGTCTGAGATACATGCTCTGGACTTTGGAGGAACTGGATTCGACATGGGGCACCATGCTGCAGTACATCTAGGACTTAGATGGGACTTTATTGCAAAGAATCAACTACCTGGTCAACCAGATAGACAGTTCCATATACCAGTGCTATCTACGATCCTCGGACCAGAGGATACTCAGGACTTATCCTTGTGTCCTATCAGAGCCTTGAAGATATATCTTCAAAAGACTAAAAGAGGAGGAGGAAATTCAAGAGCCTATTCATCCCCTTGTCTACAGAGACAACAGTGGAAGTATCAAGAATGACAATATCGTTCTGGATGAGAATCGTTATATTTAGAGCCTACAAAGCAGCAGGACTAGAACCTCCAAGAGCTTCCAACCCACACGAAGTCAGAGCACTGGCATCTACACTAGCTCTGCATGGAAATTGCTCTATATCATCAATTATGGAGGGCTGCTTTTGGAAGTCGGACACAGTGTTTGCCACCCCCTACCTCCAAGACATAGTCACCGAAGACGTCTCGGGCATTCACCAGTTTGGGCCTCTCGTTGTAGCACAACAACTAACGGTTCCACAAAGGCGCTGAGCTGAAAATCTCACCCTTTATCACGTTGACATGTTGATAACTTTTACTGAGGGAAAAGTATTAGTTTGAAAGTCCATGCGCACAGTCTAGACTAGACTCTTTTACGAGTAAAGATCTAACCTGAACGTTAAGGGATCGCAAGTCATTTATGATAAAGATCTTATCATAATCTATGGGTTGTTATCGATAACTAGTAACAAGAAGATACTAGTATATCTTAAAGCCACATAAATCAACATGATTCAACATGAATCAACATGATTCAACTTGTCTGAGAGTGAAGTAAGACAAGAAAGTGGTTATAACGGAAGTTGGAAGAACAGGATCTAGGAAATGCCGTTACGCAGTTCCCATGGGGGGAGATATAGGACGTATCTAAAGGACAGCTGATGAATCCAGGAAGTGGCCTGACCCACCACCAATCCGTCAAGTTTTATAAGCAAAAGATCATGAGTCAGGATAAGGAAAAATATGTAATTTTTTGAGTAAAATTAATATTTTATACTTATCCTGACTCATGAGGAGAAGCCCTCCCAACCTCCCTGCTGGAAACACTTCGGATTTCACAGAAAAATCAGGAGAGAGTGACAAGTAAGACAGGTCACATGATTGTTTGTGCGGGAAAAGGGAGGTAACTCGTGGGTGAGTGTACTTTTACATCCGCTTTAGGGAACTACAAAGGATTCAAGTGTTCCACTACCATTCGCATAGAAGAGGGAGATAAGCAAAAGATCATGAGTCAGGATAAGTATAAAATATTAATTTTATTCAAAAAATTACATTTCTCTTTACAAATTGTAGCGTGAACTGTTGTCGAGAGTACAATGCCAAGATTGGTAAAACATATTTACACATACATCTTTAAAACATCTAAGAAAATCAACCTCATTGCTACACTTTGTGCTAACCATACAAAGCCAAATCCATGTGAAAAACGTATATTACAAATATGAGAAGCATAATTATTTTGCCCAATGTTATCTAAATATGCTGACATGTCATATGATTTTTTGGGTATTCTACCAGAGTGCATTTCTGTAAGTTTTAACCAATATTTAATAACTCGACATAAGGCATTTATATACAAAGGATATTGTACACATTCACCATATATTATATTAATTTATAACATTAGGCGTTTGTAATTCTACATTTAGAAATCTCTTACATGCAAGCAAATGAACTTTTTCAATATTCTCATAGCGGCTAACCCCTCATACCTCTGCACCATAAAGTAAAATTGGTTGAATTTGTGAATCAAATATTTTAAAGAATACCCTAGGATCAATCACATCAATCTTTCTTAAGTTATATAATATTTGTAAGAATGCTCTTTTTCCTCTCAGTGCTAGATCGTCTGTACATTTATTCATTTTAAACGTGGATGAAAATATTATACCAAGATATCTATATGAATTCACAACGTCAATAACAGAGTCTTTATAATACCATTTTTCTTTTGCTGATAATCGCCCACCACTTCTAAAAACAACAATTTTGGGTTTATCGAGGTTGACTTCAAGTCCCCATTAATCAGAATATGATTCTAAAATATTCAGTTGTTTTTGTAGTCCCGAAGCAATGTCAGATATGAGAATGACATCATCTACAAAAAGTAAAAGCAATATCTCTAAAAAAATCAGGAAACAGCTGTACACCAAATTTACCACTTTCTACAATATCAGTACACAGTTCACCAATATAGAAGGAAAAAGAAGTGGACTTAAAATACACCCTTGTCTTAGACCGACTTGGCAATCAAAATAATCTGTGTGAACATTATCGTTGCATCTTACACATGCTTTAACGGATACATATATACTTTTTATTGCAGCTAACATTTTGCCATTTAATCCAGAGTTTTGAAGACAATACCAAAGTTTATATCGAAAGACGGAATCGAAAGCTTTCTTAAAATCTACGAAGGCAACATATAATTTCTTCTTTTTTCTTGATAAGTATTTCTGAATTATTGCATTTAAGGTGAAAACGTGATCAGTTGTAGAATACTCTTTTCTAAAACGGCTTGAAATTCAGGTATTTTATCTCTTATCGTAGCCCAAGTTGTAAGTCTGGTATGAAGAATCCGTGTATATATTTTGCTGAGTACACTTAAAAGGGAAATCCCTCTGTAATTATCGGGATTACCTCGTTCACCCTTTTTATGTATAGGAATTATAATTGCTTTAGTCCAGTTTTCAGGGAAAACACCTTTTTGAAACAATGTGTTAAAAGGTTTTCTAAGAAATGGTAAAATAATATGTGTCATTACCTGGAGATTTACCTCTTTTTGTTATTGCAGCCTCCTGACCTGGAAGCTGCCACTAAAGAGGGTAAGAAACTGATGACTGCCCTGAAGAAACTTCGGCAGCTGCAAGAGATCCAGAAGCTATACAGGCTGACAGGTGAGCCCAGGCATTGGTCCAGCAAAATATCCAACAAAATGTTCAGCACTATGCTTAGCAACTGCTTATTCCGGAAATATGCCCAACAACATATCCAATACTGTGCCTAGCAACATATCCAGTAATAATCCAGCAATATATCCAGCAATATGCCCTGCCAGATATCCATACTGAATATGCCCGTCAACATATCCAAGCTGAATATATACCCAACAACACATCCAGCAATATGCCCAGCCTGATATCCATGCTGAATATGCCCAGCAACATATCCAGCAATATGCCCAGCAACATATCCATGCTGAATATACCCAGCAACACATCCAGCAATATGCCCAGCAACATATCCATGCTGAATATACCCAGCAACACATCCAGCAATATGCCCGAGCAACATATCCATGCTGAATATACCCAGCAACACATCCAGCAATATGCCCGAGCAACATATCCATGCTGAATATACCCAGCAACACATCCAGCAATATGCCCAGCAACATATCCATGCTGAATATATACCCAACACATACAGCAATATACCCAGCAACACATCCAGCAATATGCCCGAGCAACATATCCATGCTGAATATACCCAGCAACATCCAGCAATATGCCCAGCAACATATCCATGCTGAATATATACCCAACACATACAGCAATATGCCCAGCAACACATCCAGCAATATACCCAGCAACATATTCATGCTGAATATGCCCAGCAACATATCCAAGCTAAATATATACCCAACACATCCAGTAATATGCCCAGCCTGATATCCATGTTGAATATGCCCAGCAACATATCCATGCTGAATATACCCAGCAACATATCCATGCTAAATATACCCAGTAATATGCCGAGCAACATATCCATGCTAAATATATCCAGCAATATGCCCAGCAACACATCCAGCAATATACCCAGCAACACATCCAAGCTGAATATACCCAGTAACACATCCAGCAATATGCCCAGCAACACATCCAAGCTGAATATACCCAGTAACACATCCAGCAATATGCCCAGCAACATATCCATGCTGAATATACCCAGCAACACATCCAGCAATATGCCCAGCAACATATCCATGCTGAATATACCCAGCAACACATCCAGCAATATGCCCAGCAACATATCCATGCTGAATATACCCAGCAACACATCCAGCAATATGCCCGAGCAACATATCCATGCTGAATATACCCAGCAACACATCCAGCAATATGCCCAGCAACATATCCATGCTGAATATGCCCAGCAACACATCCAGCAATATACCCAGCAACATCCAGCAATATGCCCAGCAACACATCCAGCAATATGCCCAGCAACATCCAGCAATATACCCAGCAACATCCAGCAATATGCCCAGCAACATCCAGCAATATGCCCAGCAACACATCCAGCAATATGCCCAGCAACACATCCAGCAATATACCCAGCAACATCCAGCAATATGCCCAGCAACACATCCAGCAATATGCCCAGCAACACATCCAGCAATATACCCAGCAACATCCAGCAATATACCCAGCAACATCCAGTAATATGCCCAGCAACACATCCAGCAATATACCCAGCAACATATTCATGCTGAATATTCCCAGCAACATATCTAAGCTGAATATACCCAGCAACATCCAGCAATATGCCCATCAACACATCCACCAATATGCCCAGCAACACATCCAGCAATATACCCAGCAACATATTCATGCTGAATATTCCCAGCAACATATCCAAGCTGAATATACCCAGCAACATCCAGCAATATGCCCATCAACACATCCAGTAATATGCCCAGCCTGATATCCATGTTGAATATTCCCAGCAACATATCCATGCTGAATATAGCCAGCAACATATCCATGCTAAATATACCCAGTAATATGCCGAGCAACATATCCAAGCTGAATATGCCCAGCAACACATCCAGCAATATGCCCATCAACACATCCAGTAATATGCCCAGCAACACATCCAGCAATATACCCAGCAACATATTCATGCTGAATATTCCCAGCAACATATCCAAGCTGAATATACCCAGCAACATCCAGCAATATGCCCATCAACACATCCAGCAATATGCCCAGCAACACATCCAGCAATATACCCAGCAACATATTCATGCTGAATATTCCCAGCAACATATCCAAGCTGAATATACCCAGCAACATCCAGCAATATGCCCATCAACACATCCAGTAATATGCCCAGCCTGATATCCATGTTGAATATTCCCAGCAACATATCCATGCTGAATATACCCAGCAACATATCCATGCTAAATATACCCAGTAATATGGCGAGCAACATATCCATGCTGAATATGCTCAGCAACACATCCAGCAATATGCCCAGCAACACGTCCACCAATATGCCCAGCAACACATCCAAGCTGAATATACCCAGTAACACATCCAGCAATATACCCAGCAACACATCCAAGCTGAATATACCCAGTAACACATCCAGCAATATGCCCAGCAACACATCCATGCTGAATATACCCAGTAACACATCCAGCAATATGCCCAGCAAGATATCCATGCTGAATATGCCCAGCAACATATCAATGTTGAATATACCCAGCAACACATCCAGCAATATGCCCAGCAACACATCCAAGCTGAATATACCCAGTTACACATCCAGCAATATGCCCAGCAACATATCCATGCTGAATATACCCAGCAACACATCCAGCAATATGCCCAGCAACACATCCAAGCTGAATATACCCAGTTACACATCCAGCAATATGCCCAGCAACATATCCATGCTGAATATTCCCAGCAACATATCAATGCTGAATATACCCAGCAACTCATCCAGCAATATAGCCATCAACACATCCAGTAATATGCCCAGCAACACATCCAGTAATATGCCCAGCCTGATATCCATGCTGAATATGCCCAGCAACATATCAATGCTGAATATACCCAGCAACATATCCATGCTAAATATACCCAGTAATATGCCGAGCAACATATCCATGCTGAATATGCCCAGCAACACATCCAAGCTGAATATACCCAGTAACACATCCAGCAATATGCCCAGCAACACATCCAAGCTGAATATACCCAGTAACACATCCAGCAATATGCCCAGCAACATATCCATGCTGAATATTCCCAGCAACATATCAATGTTGAATATGCCCAGCAACACATCCAGCAATATGCCCAGCAACATATCCATGTTGAATATGCCCAGCAACACATCCAGCAATATGCCCAGCAACATATCCATGCTGAATATTCCCAGCAACATATCAATGTTGAATATACCCAGCAACACATCCAAGCTGAATATACCCAGCAACACATCCAGCAATATGCCCATCAACACATCCATGCTGAATATTCCCAGCAACACATCCAGCAATATGCCCATCAACATATCCATGCTGAATATTCCCAGCAACATATCAATGTTGAATATACCCAGCAACACATCCAAGCTGAATATACCCAGCAACACATCCAGCAATATGCCCATCAACACATCCATGCTGAATATTCCCAGCAACACATCCAGCAATATGCCCAGCAACATATCCATGCTAAATATACCCAGCAACATATCCATGCTAAATATACCCAGCAACATATCCATGCTAAATATACCCAGCAACACATCCAAGCTGAATATACCCAGCAACACATCCAGCAATATGCCCATCAACACATCCATGCTGAATATTCCCAGCAACATATCCAGCATTATGCCCAGCAACATATCCAGCAATATGCCCCTTACCCTCAGCCCATCTGACAAAAATATATCTACTCCGTGTTGGAGAAAGCCTCATATTGGTTATTTACCTTTTTTCCATAACCTGTCATCATTGATATGGCGCTGACATGCCTGGAATCATAATCAGGGTGACTTTGGGATACATGCCCATCATCATTGCTTCCTGGTATACCAAAGGCATATAACTCTGCTCAGCAAATACTGTGGCAGTTTACAGTACTGTAAAGATTGGTTTCCTTATGAAAGTATTTCAACCCAATAGCATGAATAGTGCAGCAACAGTTATCATTTTCATGTCAACTAATAGGTTCGCAAAAATCAGTTTGATGATATAATCATATATTTTGGTTTGTGTTTCCCCATATCAGCTGCTCTTAACTGGCCAACACAGTGGTGTAGTGGATAGAGTCGAGGCTTGTTGGTTTAATTAACTGGCTGCAATGTTAAAATATGGTACTTGTTGTTACCCTGCCTATGTATTCATACTAAACTGCTGCATCATATCTCACTTGCCTAGCACTATAAATCAGAGTAAGCAGAGACTCAGCCAAGCATGCACATTGCTACATTAGTGAAATAAACTTGAACATGACGTTAAATCCCATCTCATTTCTGTCCATCCATATCGACCCGTGAAGATCCGGGTTAGAATTCATCTTCAGTAACCCATGCTTGTCGTAAGAGGTAACTAATAGGATCAGGTGGTCAGGCTCGCTGACTTGGTTGACACATGTCATCTTATCTCAATTGCATAGATTGATGCTCATGCTGTTGATCGCTGGATTGTCTGGTCCAGACTAGATAATTTACAGACCACCACCATATAGCTGGAATATTGCTGAGTGCGGTGTAAAACCAAACTCACTTACTCCCACTTTATCCATATCAAGCAGAATGTCCAAAAAATTATGCAATCACACCTTTTGGACCAACAACAAGTTATATTGGTCACATTATTCAGTGTGTTACAGTGTTGTGAATATTGGATCTACAGGTGTTTCAGTTGAGGAAAAGACTGAGAACAAGCTTGTGTTACGGTTCGACACCAGTTACAACCATGAATATGTTGATGAGCACTACATAGAGCTTACCCGCAGCAAGAAACAAGATGGCTACCAAGTGTCCCACCACACACTACCAGCTTTCATACCCATGTCCCAACTTGAGGTGCATCTGGAGACAGAGCTCAAGGTCTTCGTGGACAGAGTCAGGGAGTATCTGCAGGCTTTTGTCATCCGTCGTGGTCAAGTCAAGATGTTGGGGGTGAGTTTAGATGTCAATTTGTGTTGTGAAATATCATGCATTTTGTTTTCTTGAGTCATTACTCTTTTGAAAAATGAAGCATGTTTTTACATGAAAGGTAATGATAATATGTTGGTGGAGACACAGATACTGTCAAGGATAATATGTGAACCCTTCATGGTTATGGTGATTTCAAGCATATATAAGATAATTATGTTAGCGTATGTAAAGATTCTCTCATTATGGCAATAACTTGAAATATGTTTAAGGCATCGTACATATACCTGAAGTTCTTATTTATTTGGGGGATGAAATATTATGTTCAGTTTATCATTAACATATTGTAATAACAAAACCTTCATTTTGTTTTCAGTCTGAACTGGCTGAAATTCTCCGAAGTGAGATCGAGACCAGTTTCCCTGTGGACTATGTCAGCATTTCTCTACAGTCATCTGACGATGTACCTATCAAGATAACACTGTGCTACACTGACCTTCGGTCTGTACACCCAACTAAGGCAGAGGTCAACATCATAGAGACTCCAGGTAGGTTATTGTTATAGTGAGGGTTTGTTGAAATGACCTTGACCTCTTGACCATGCAGATCATGAAGATGTATGATCAGCCTTATAAGACTTCAAGTAGGTTTCTGGTATGTTGAGGGTTTGTCGATATGACCTTGACCTTTCATGATGATTAGCCTTCTTAGACACCAGGTAGGGCTTCTATCAAGGGTCGTTGAGACTTCCTACCTGCCCTAGTAGATAAAGCAAAGGCCAGCCAAGCAGAGACTGTAAGCTTTGGTTAGAGTATTGTTTAAGGTTTTGGTTGTATTGAATGGCAAATGTATGACTAACCTCCTGTTTGGCAAATGTATGACTAATCTCCTGTTTGCACAGAGATGAAAGCAGAGATGAGAACAGAAGACTGTGTTGTAGAACTGTGTTTAAGGTTTGGTTGTTGGTTGATTAATCTTGTTTGCACAGAGATACACAGTGTGAATTTGAACTTCAGTTATTCTACCCAGGTAATACTTAAGTTCTTGGTTCTAACATTAGAAACGCACCACACTAAAATGCATCTCCTGTTTGCACAGAGATGAAACAGAAGATGCTCAGATATCATGGGTACATTTCAGTCTGGCGGGGATATATATCGTATTATATGAGTGGTGTGTTTTTAATGTTGTTCAGTATATATATGACAATGTCCTGTTGAATAAGATGTTTGTCTGTCTCACTGAGGTCTCAGGGTAATTGTAAGTTCTATAATCCTCATACACTTTGAGACAAGAACAATGTTTTTTGTTTGTGCATCATGAATACGGCAATACTCGTGAGGATATCAGCAGAGCTAGTACTGTACCACTACACTCTCAAAAGCCATGATCTTAAACTGTAAATCTAAACTTACTGACTTAATTTCAAGAGGGTGGGAATGTTTCACTAACCTTTAACAATTGTATTACTTTTCTGTAGGGAAAACACAATAGCAGCACCCACCCCCATTACAAAATACTCTGTCGTAAAAAAAGCTTACATGTTATGATTATTATTATAATATTAACTTTTCCGTGGAGAACAAAACCTGGTTTAAACTTTCTTTGTTCAAAAATAATAAAATGTATCATTTTGATAAAGAAATATTGCAAGGAAAAAGTGTTTATTTTGTTTTTTTACTTTTATTTATATTGTAATTTTTTTACGTAGAAAGCTGTAAGCTTATGCAATCCAACATCTCCACACTTCTTGTCCTTGTAGACTGAGTGCATGAAATAAAGATGAATGGGGACATGGACAATGTCAATAATACACACTGTCTGAGTATGTTTCCACTGCTAGTAAGAAGCTGAGTGTTTCTTGTTTCCGTAGTTACTGAAGGAGATTTCTGATAATACAGACTGTGCTGGGGTCTTACGATGCCATAAACGATGTTTTCAGCTAGCTATAATGATGTACTATAAAACACTCCACATCAATATCTGTGGTGTGCATTCTGGGCTGGCAAGAGGTGTTGTAAATCATTCAACTACTTCATAGGTTTTATGGGCTCTAAGAAGTTTGTGTTAACCCTACACTCTCTGTCGTGATCAGCAGCTTCAATGAAAAAATCACTATCATAATTTGCTATTTTGTCAATCAGCGTCAAAGGGAAACATTGTTTATGGATGAATTTGTTTGGAGAATTTGGCTAAAGAATACAAACAATGGTGAAACTTGTTATGTAGTTATTATCTAACATGCTGGAACACAGGGAAAACACTGCAGTATGTATCATTTGAAATCATGTTACAGTATGCTGGTAATACGAGGAAGAATTACGTAGATATCAGTTTCACAACATGTATGACCTCTTGCCAGTAAACATGCACCACAAATACAGGACTTTTAATTCCAAAATCATGATCCTTTTGTATCTAATGTTTTAATTACAAAATTGATAGACATTCTAATTTTCTTTAAAGGTTGATCATAAACAATCACTAACCCATCATTGACATAGAGAATCTCACTCGAGTGCCTTTTGATATCAAATACATCCCCACGAATTGATAAAGTAACAAATATTCTAGGCTTGTCGAGAATATTTTTACTTTTAGTCAACGAGTGTTGAAGTATTTGATATCAGAAGACACAAGGGTGAGATTCTATTTATCATAAAAAATCACTCTTCATTAGTTTTCAATGAAAAATGTACATCTCTGAACACAGTACTGCCATTAGGCTTGCAGTGCAGCGATGTCGTAGCATTGTGACGTCATCAGGTTCATGGCGTCACAGCATTGTCTTTGCATTGTGCAAAATCTACTATCAAAATGATATCTCCCCGGAGATATCGTCTGATCTCACACAAGCAATTCTGCTGTGGAACACAGTTTTGGATGATAAATTTCGTTTCATTATTCTTCTCAGCTTGCGACCACATACACAAGACTACCTGCAAACACTGGTTCCCATGTTCAGCTACAAACATGAGATATGCCCAGCAGCCTCACAGCAGACAGGCACTGTGGGAATAGTTTAGCAGACAACAGTTTCCAGACAATTTGAAAAGATAGATCTCAATACTATCTGATCTCAAGATACACTGCCAAGTCAATCATTTAGGTGCAGGTCACTTGACTAGCCTGCGGTTTAGTACACATTGATTTTTCTGAACAGTAGCTTGGGGAATATTCTTTGGTATTCAAGAGGATGGATATTTTCAGGCCTGCAGCTTAACAGGAACAATTTACTTGCCTTATTAGTGACAACAGTTGGGACACCCCAAAAGACCGAAATTATACTAGTATGCAGGATAACTATATTATATATGATATAACAAATATATATTCATTCACCAATGCACAGATCCGTCACGATACATTCAAGTTTGATACAGCTATCGTTTCGTCGACTGGTGTATCAATACAAAACGATACACGGCTTGTTTTCAAAGCAGTATTATCTTAAACATATTAAAGTACTTATTTGGAGAAAAATATGCAAGTATGATAGAGTTACTTGTTTGTTTATTACAATAGTGTTATTGTTATACACTAATACCTTGAAATACATCATTTTGAATCTTAATACTGTGTCATTCTTTAAGGTGTATGTATCGTGATACATATCATATCGCAGGTAAAATATCGCGATACGTATCGTATCATGACATAGTGTACCGTCCCAGCCCTGGTATGATGTTGAGACGAATTTGATTCCTATTTTACGGTGAAGTGTCCATTCCTTTTAAATCGTGATGATAACACAGAGTGTATGGAGCCATGACTCTCATAGGGTTAATATCTGTAGACAGCTCACAGTCAATCAGGACATATGCATCTTTAGTAGTACAAGCGAGATTCAACAGTGACACACTGTTCATTCCACAGATGGAACTTTTACAGGAGAAATTGTTCCTTGCTCTGTGTTTTCACTTGTGCCACTGGGTGTATGGGATATCATAAACAGATAAAGTATTAATACAGCCTTTCCAAGGACTGTTAAATGGCCAAGGAGACTCTCAGTGACTTTTATGATTTTTTCTAAACTTCCATAACAGGAGTGTCCTACAAGCGGTGAACAGTTGATCAGGCAGGACAGCTGTGACATTTAGACTCTAGGTGTGTGATAATTCTTCGGTGTCAAGTGCTTTCAGGCGTGTTGGAATAGCTTTTAGTCCGATTTAGTGAGATCTGGCCTTGATGATGGTTCTTCTGGAGATTTTGGAGGACCCCGGATCAAGAGGGAATAAAGGACATGCAGTTCGATTTGGCCTGAATGACCCAGTGGCGTTGAACGTTGACAGTATGGAATACAGTGCAGGGGTGGTTGGCTATCTCTTTCTTGTGCCATGTATCTGTATTTTTGGTATAATTGGTAACATTGTGAACATTCTGATCCTTCACAAGGGACCATTCTCTGGAGCTGCTTATGTGTACCTGAAAGGCTTGGCATTCTTCGACATGCTGAGTCTCATTTTCATTTTGCCAATTTGCGTGATCCGTTGCCCTGTGTGCTCTATAGCAGAGCGCTCCTGGAGTGTTTATGAAGCATACATCTATATTCCCATTGGTGACATCTTCATCAAGGCAAGTGTTGTCACAACAGTCGTCTTCACCATTGAACGCTGTCTCATCATTTGCTTCAACAATCATTTCCATTTCGAAGTGAAAAAAGCCAAATCGGCCATAATAACAGTTTCTCTCATTGGGTTTCTTTGTGCAGTGGAAAATATTCCCACCTTCTGGATGTATCATATCAACATTAACGGATCCATCGTCCAGACTGATTTCGCTAGCTCGACATTTTTTGCTTTTTATGGCTGGCTTGATGCTGTACTCTTCCAATTTATTCCAATGATTGTGTTGTTCATATTCAATATCATTCTGATCATCTACCTCAGAAAACATCGTCACGTTCAGCAGCACCTTCAAACCCCTACCCAGATAGCTCAGCAAAAATTCAACCTTGAACAGACACGTATGATCTTCTTGCTTATAGGTATAATTGTGTTGTTTTTGATAACCATGGTACCAAGTTCCGTGATGCAGCTGATTGGCTACAGTATCCAGTTTGGTTCGGATGTTTACACCAAGTTTCAAGTCACAACAACTGTTCTCATAGCCTTAAACTTCTCATGTAATTTCCTTTTATATTGTGCCATCAACAAAAGATTTTGGATGACCTTCAAGAGAATTTGCTGTTGTTGCTGCCAGAATCGTGTTCACCCAGTAATGGATGCCATTGTTGCCGAGCAGGCTGTTGTGACCAGAATGAGATTTTCCCATGCCAGGAACCAGACAGAGTTTACGCAGGGCTCCAGTGCTTTAACTACAGGGATGACTCTCACAACAGAGTCTTCCAGATTCAGGCTGAATCCAGAACTGGTAGAAGAATGTGATCAAGAATATAGTGATGCTTCCAGAGTGGGGCAACTGGAGAAGCCAGGTCCAGGGAATATGACTGCTTTATCAGATCCAGGAACTTCTACAGCTGGGGCAGAACAAACCTCTTCAGAACCTCTTGACTAATCATCAAAATGTTATTTTGGAATATACATTAAGAACCAATCAACATACTTTCTACAGTGGTTAGTGAAAAGTGTAGAAATTTTTTTTGTTCAGGATGTTTTGCAGATCAAATCTAAGATCACACCTCAAAGTCCGATAAACAATCTTGCCATATACTGACATCCATCAGCTTCAGCTTTTGAAGTGCCTTTCATCTGACTCAACAGTCATAATAATTCAACATAAACCTGGTGGTTGCTGCTTGATGTAACTTCAATTCAAATAAGGCACATATGGCTTCTCAGGGATAGACAGTTGAATGTGAATGCTGATATGACCAGTTAATGCCTAGTACAGTGCATTGAAGGTAACACCAAGTATTGCCAAGGCTAGTTGAGGACAGTACAGAGGCTGCAATGTGGGGCTAAGGTGTGATCAACTCCAGGCACAGGTACTGGGGGTGATCACCAGATATGACTTGTCTCGGACAGTACATGTGATTGCATATGAAGTATGGTATTGAATATCAGGTATGGTAAATTTCTTGTGGTCACTACTTTGGGTGTAAGCAGCATGTATGACCAAGGCTTGTTTTAGCCAGTATCCCCAGGTTTGAAAACTCAGAGGAAACATTGATCAACATGTCCTTCCATCTGTCATCCATGCTTGTTGAATTTGGGGATTTTTATATTTTTGTTTTTATATATGTTTATCATTTCATCTATTATTTTTATCATAACAACGGGTTGGACTTACACTGAATAAAAGGGATGTGCTCAGAACTCTGAAACAGTTCAATATTTCCAGATGAAATTGTGGTATGTGTCAGTCTAGTGATGATCTGGTCCCTTTTGATGATTTGTGATACTGAGAACACTGAACAGCATTATTATTTCTTCACTGAACTGAAGGTATCCTATGGCAGTGAACCCAGAGTTGGTAAAAGTTGCCAAACTCCATCTTCGTGATATCTCATCTTCTGATGACTCTAGTTGCTAAATGTACTGTTACCAGTGTGATTTATTGTTTGAAACCAGGAATTTATGTGAGAGGTCCTTGTGATAAGGCTAATTGTAAACATAAAATGGCCAGGATTCACCTGAAGAAGATAACTTCAGGACATCAGGATCCGTTCCAACATGAGGACATGCCATCTAGCCACAAGAGGAGTCTAATAATGATAATAATGGCTGTTTATAAAGTGCCTGTTTCCATGCACTTGTGCATGCTCAAGGTGCTAACACATTATTAATCCGGATAACCCAAGCTGCCTGTGAGGCGCTATTAGGTTACCAGTCATATGACTTATCCCACCGGGTACCCATTCGCTGCTGGTTGAACAGAGGCAATTTATGAACAAACTCACGAACATCTAAGTACATCAAACATCTGTGCGTGTGCTTGAATGCCATAAAATATTTTACGATTTGGTATGGTACTGTCATTCTGGAACAAGTGTGTGAGTCATGTGTTCTGCTCCTACTGTGTTAATGGTTTCATGGACTGGACCCATTTGAGGTAGGCAATAACTTAATCATTATTACTGCCAGTTGGCAGATTTTAAGCCCTTGTCTTACAAAGGGCTCTGTTTGATTCCCAACATGAGTACAATGTGTGAAGCCCATTTGCCATGATATTGGCGGAAGAGTGCTGAAAGCAGCATAAAACGTCACTCACTCACTCACTCTCTCTTGCATTTTAACTGATGTCTGTAACAGTATTGCAACTATAAGAGGCACATGACATTGTATTCATAAGTCCATTGTGATATATTTCCACAGCAGTAAGTGACAATAAAAATCAATTCATGTAGTTGAAGTATTTTGAATTCAGTTTGATTCATCCGAATTTATGGTTTTAATATTTTATGACAAACATTTACTGACTTGTCAGTGTAATCTGTCGTTGACTGAACTGTGCAATGAAGCAATAAAACTGTCGTCAGAGGATTGAGTGTGAAGGTACTTGTAGTGACTCCCTCTCCAGCTCCACCTCAAGGTCCATGTGCTCAGATAAGGCATAGGCAAATCCAGAGGCACGGGTGCAGGGGTGTGTGCGCATACGCACACACACACACACGCACACCATCCTTAAAGTTTATTAAATGACCATTGAAACACTCGTGAAAACAAACTGTGTGGAACCAAAAAATCCCCACCCCTCCTTTCAGATCTGGGTACCCCTCCTTTGTCAAAAAGCTGTATCCGCCCCTGTACGGGTTCCAGCTAGAGGTTAATGCTACTCAAACTCAAACAAGTGGTTCATGTTTTATAGGATCCACCATATCCATGCCGTGGTCAAACCAGGATTAATCACCTCATTGAAATGACAGCAAGTTACTTCAAAAATAAGTCCAGGGTAATATGTACCAGTTTTGTGGTCTAGTTAAAGCTGGACCTGTTTGCAGTTGTTGTTTTGTTCTATGTAATCATTAAATGGACAAGACATGATACTGGACGAATTACTAAACTAGGAAATCATGAGAGGAACAGAAGCACAAGATGACATACCAACTGGACATTTAATGAATGACTGAAAGCAAGATACAAATGGTTCCATGACCTCGAATAATGATGCAGTACACCTAACAATTACTAATAATTAGGGATGTCAAGATACATAAGTTTCACAATTCGATACGTATCCTGATACCTATTTTTGCGGCATTATTGCGTAAATTTAGTTACATTTTGAACATTAATATTTCATATTTTATAATTGTCCATGATTTTATTCTCAGAGATTAAAAAGTTCTAATTTCCCATCTTTGTGCATGAAAAATAATCATTAATAACTCTCATAACATAAAAAAACATGATACAATTGCAAAATGTAAACGATACACAAACATATTTAAACCGATACTTCAAAACTAAATATCGATACAGTTCTGAATGTATCGATAATTGTATCGTCTTAGAAAAAGTATTGATGCATCGATGTATCCTGGCATCCCTACTAATAATAGAGCCCAATACACTGTTTTCCTTTGAAGTGCTTCACTTGGTCATATTCCATGAACTCCACATATATAGAACTAGGAATGATATTTCTGTTTTCTGAACTAAACATATATCCTTCTGGTGTGACAATGGTTAGGTAGCGCAGGGTTCCACTTTCTATAATCCTCACATTTGTGAAACCTTGAGTCTTCAGGATAACCAGTGTCCCATTGGCCCAGAGCTTTGTAACTCACACTTTAGTTCCCAGGATGAACTGAAAGTAGATTTCAATCCCAGATTCACCACACACAGGTTTAAATTGCTGATGTTATAACGACTAAAACCTGTACTACATTGGGCTTTCATCAAGTATCACACTGATACTAAATCTCTATTATTATCCTTCTCACCTCCTCACTCACTTTTAATGCTTAGTTTCATGTTATAACATTAAATGCACTCTCAAAACATAACAAAATACCATGGGAATTCAAGAAAATACAAACTTTATATATACAAAGTCACTTAGCATAGAATCAGGGGCAGCGGTTAAAGCGTTCGCTGCGCTGAAGATACTTCGATTCCCCATATAGGTACATTCTGTGAAGCCCATTTCCGGTCTCCTCTGTTGTGATATTACTGGAATATTGCTAAAAGCGGAGTAAAACCCAACTCACTCACTCACTCACTAGGACAGAATCCAGGATAAATCTCTGCATAACACACTTCTAATCCTGAGTAGTCAGAAAAGATATCATTTCATATTTACATGATCTTGGTTGCCAGATTCAACAGACATCCTTCCTGATGAGAGCATGCTGAGACAGTGGGAGGGGCTACTGAAGACCACGCCCCTCATTACAGCCCTCCAGCAAATCACTGGCATTGTCATGGAAACAACTGAAGTAGACCGAGAGTTAGAATGTACACAGTGACCAAAATATCATGCTGTCTGGAGATTCAAGGACAGTTCCTATTTGCCAGGGAAACCACAAACGTCAAGGACATACAGAAATCACATATTGGTGTGGAAGCCCATTTCTGGTGTCCCCTGCCGTGGTATTGCAGGAATATTGCTAAACGCTGCCTAAAACTAAACTCACTCACTCATATTTTAGGGGAAGTGTGGGGGGAGGGTGTTATTGATTTTGTACATGACATTGGGGGTGGGGTGGGGGTGTCACTTACTTTGTACATACATTTTAGGGGGTGCCATCCACATTGTACATGCTTCTCCATAAAAAAATCATCAGCCAGGAATTGTGAATGGACCCCTAGATTACTGATGTTACACACAGTCATCTCTTGGGCCATATGATGATCACAGTTAAAGTCACACTGTTGTGTGACTGCATGTTTTAGCTGTACATACGCCACTACGGCCCTTATCTGGAGCCCTGGTGAAGGTAGTCAAACACTGACAAACTTTTACGTGCTATCTTGAAGAATAAGCTTGGTCCTGCATATTTCTAACATTTTACCTGAGGTATGTTTAGGTCCCTTCAGTCACAACACAATGGTGTTTTGCAGAAGTTATAACCAGTTGCATAGGACCAAGGAATTTATCTTGCGCTTTTATCAAAATGAATAATAAACAGATGCAGATATCTGTTTAACCAGGGAGACTATATAACATGTTGTAGATTATCCCCGGTTTAACATTCAACAGTTGTCATTGTTTACTTGTACCGCGCAATCTTACTTTGCAAAATGAGTTTCAAGAGAAGGTGCTATGTTACGTGAATGAATCACTCATAAAATCCCTCTATATAAATGTTGTCTGTCATGAACATGATCAATAAAATGTATATGTGTACGATTTATGTTTTCTGTAAGTAACTTCATGTGTTAGATCGTGATTTGGCATGAGATGAAGATTTACATCCGTCATATCATAATTATTGTTCATGATTTTCATTGAAAATCCTACACTAAAGCAAACGAACACCAACTGAGTGACTTGTGATGGAAGAATCTATGAATATCCTATATATCTCCACACCAATCCGTAGATTCTCGAGACATTATTGTTTCATTATTTCAAATTAATCAAGGAATAAATCAAATAAATATCACAAAGGTGGTAACAGTGTCTGCCCATATGGAATCTCCTGCTATTATTTAAGACCGCTCTATTAAACAGAATTTCATTTCTGATTAAATTAATAAATGTGTCCATTTTTTGAGCGACTTGAGAAACGGTTTATTACCTCGATGCTACGTTGATAATTTTCAACAGTTACATTCACCAGCCCTATGTTTTGAATTGATTGCCTCTGTTGGAATGAAATCAACGTAGTAAACAGTTATCAAGCTTTCTACATCGTTATGGTAATCTGTGATGTATGGCCAATGTTATATAAATGCATCCTTAAATCAGAGTTTAAGTCAAATTTTAACAAATACATATCATTTATGTTGCCTAATACTGTATAGGGCCTATGATTGTAAGTGGCGAACATTTTAGATGATTTATCGGTTTGGCACAATGTGCGATACAAATTCCTATCTGAATGGCACGTAATGGTCGTTCTTATTCCCATGCTAATCGTCTTAACATACCGCCATGGTTTGGTGAGTTCAGCGCAAATCGTATAATACCCATTGGTAACCAGGTTAAACGGCGTCCCAGCAATGCGGAAGACGTGGAGATAAGAATATTGACACAAAGTACTCGTGTCACCGGGTCGGACCAGAAACAGCGTCCTGTTGGCTGAGATTCGTACCGGACTTTTTTGGATATCTAAACTATAAAACAGCACGTCATTCTACATGTAACTGGGTGCGGACAAACACACTTTGTGAATAAAGGAGCTAATTAAACAAATGTGTGAGATTTAAGACAGATGTTTCTTGTTATCGGTATCGTTCGGGGGTTTTCGACCCCATTTCCATTAGTAGAGGGTAGACAAATAGGTTAGTGGTTGAAGCGTTCGCTTGCGTTTAAACCCATTTGTTATAGGTATGTTATGGTTATTTATAAAGCACCTGTTTCCATGCCCATTATACACAGTGTTTGTTTGTTTGTTTAACGCCGTTCTCGGCAATATTCAAACTATATGGCAGTGGTCTGAAAATAATTGAACCAAACAACCCAGTGATTAACATCATGAGCACCACATTTACGCAACCGGGATACGATGACATGTTTCAAGCAAGTCAGCGAGCCTGACTATCCGATCCCTTTAGTCACCTGTTACGACAAGCGTGGGTTGCATGAAGATTAATTCTAACACGGATCTGCACAGGTTTATACACAGTGACTCATTCCAAGTTATCCAACTGTTCAAGTCCGTATCGTGTCAGCATTCCTATCATAATCGTAAGCAGACCGCCTCCGAGGTGTAATGGTTAGAGCGTACGCCCAGAGAGCGGAAGGTCGCAGGTTCGATCCCCGACGGCGTCATACCAAAAGATGTTAAAATGTGGTACTTGTTGGTCCCTGCCAGGCGCTCGACATTAATATATATAACAAGGACTGGTCGACTCGGAGTCAGTATAATGTTTCTAACTTTGCTAAATGGGTATATGTCTTTTCGCAAATATCTGTTGAGGTTTTGATATGTATAACTAACGGGTATATCCTACATGCATGTAGAGTCAGCCTCACCTAAAATATGATACAAATGCAGCTGTTTTTATGTTTTATTTTTCTACATATTATCTGTAAGCCTCAAGCAAATTGGTTTTGCTATGTCCCAGCCTCACGATCCCCATTTTGTGTGACTTTGTATCTCGGCCTCGTACTCCCCAAAAACGTAAAATCTGCAATAAAATCCATCACAAACTTCAGGAAACAAAATATGCAAGAAACATTTTTGTATGTTTGAGATTGATAGAAGTCCGCTAGAATCAAACTTAGATATCCAACTGCACAAAAAAGCAATTTGAAACTACAATCGCTTGTTCAAATGACTTCCTCCCCACCCCCCTTCTGTTTACTGAAAGAACTCGCGAAAGAAATGATGGATTTTGTTCAAAATTGGTACCAAGGTTTATTGACATTTACCGACACCAGTTGAATTTAGTTACCTTGAGGTCATTTTAAAGGTGTAACAGTTTTGCACATGCAAAGCTTGGTAGCCGCGAACTCAGAAAAGAATTAATAGATTTTGATCCAATTTTATATAAAGGTGTATTGACGGGATCCCCCTACACCAACCAGTTGAAACAAAATAGGCAAGAAACATTTTGTATGTTGGTAAAAGTCAGCTTGAATCAAACTTAGATATTAATTTGAAACTACAACCGCTTGATCAAGTGACTCCCCCTTCATGTTTACTGAAAGAGCTTGTTTTGGAGACGCAACCCACCCCCTTTTATTTGACGTCATCAAAAGAACATAACTTTTCCTAATGTTTTCACTTATTCATACATGATGTCAAGGGTTCAAACTAAATACTGAATGGTCACACAAGTGTCAGCTCTCAATATATTGTATATCTGGACACAATGTTTTTGAAAAATTAAAATGAGTGTGTCCTTAAAAAACAGTCCCCGTCTAAATATACATCAAGCAATCCAAATCTTTGAATGTTGGTGGTGACGGGAAGTCATCCAATACTATGCTGAACATATTTTATGTGATATTATCTGAGGGCATACCATTATCCAAGAGGTAGCGCAATAGTGCAGTGGTAAGGCGTCACGCTGAAGGCCCGGGTTCGAGGAGGCACCTAGGTTCGGGTCCCGAGATGGGCACATTTGCGTAGTATCCTTGGACAATACACTTAGATCCACATTGTCTCAGTTCACCCAGCTGTAAAATGGGTACCCGTGAATATGTGCTGGCAATGTGAGTGTTTAGTTCATTGCGGCTAACAGGCATCGTGAGCAGGCAATGTGCCTGGATATGAGCGCCATATAAGCGGACTATTACTATTACTAGATACCAAATGGCAGATCGTTTTCCATTTTCTGCAAAGTTGTAAGAAACATTATACCCCAATATGTTGTGATGTCTCGTTAACCACATAACTGACATGAAATTTTGGATATGACTCTGCTAATGATTCCTGCAAAATAAAATGGAAACACTGGACATCGAGAATATAGTTAGGCTGACTACTTTTTCAACGCCCCTCGTTACATACTTAAAAGAAAAGAAAACGTCTAAGGAAAAATGCATTTCGATCTCTGAATACTTCTGAGCTATTTACAATACAAAATGCAAAGGAATAAAGTAAATAATCTGAAAGAATAGCCAAGGAAAACTTTATATCTAATGTTGATAACTATTTATCACCTCAGTCTACTCAATCAGGTGGTTACTACTTCATCGGGACCCATTCCCCTCTTGTCACTGATGATTCTGGGATACCTTCAGTTTGTACAGATTTGGATAACGCTCAAATATTAAATGAATATTTTCTATCTGTTTCAAATGTTAATGACGGCGGCAAGACTTTGCCACCTGTTAGCCATCGCTGTGTTAACAGTATAACAAATGTCATTGTAACCGAAAAGGAGGTATCTGAGATGATTAAGGCCTTACCAGCAAACAAAGCTAGTGGACCTGATGACATTAACATGAGAGTGTTAAAACGAATTTGTACATCTATAGCTGAACGTCTTTGCTTGTTGTATGATATATCACCGAGTGACTGTATAATTTCCTTGAACATAACATTTTAAGTAAATTCCAGTCAGGTTTTACTGCTAGTCATTCTACTACATCTCAACATAGACATTTATCATAATATATGCTCAGTCCTAGATAATCACCACCTTTACTGTATGCTATTTTGTGATATTTCAAAAGCTTTTTACAGGGCATGGCATAAAGGTTTATTGCACAAATTACAAAATTATGGTGTTCGTGGAAACGTACTTAGTTGGTTAACTAACTATCTGTCTGATAGACGACAGTGTGTCTGTGTTAATGGAACATAATCAAAAGAACTAAATGTTACTGGAGGGGTTCCTCAAGAGTCAATTAGGTTAATTTGTATTCCTTGTATATATCAATGATTTACCTGGAAATTTACAAAATATCACACTAATGTTGGCCGATGACACATCAATCGGTGTTGCGGGAAAATATGTAAAATCCATAGAAACCCAGAGAACTCTCAACTATGATTTAGCCCAATTGAATAAATGGGCAGAAAGGTGGTTAGTTAAGTTTAACCCTA